TTTATTTTAAAAATAATCTTTAAAGAAAAATAATCTTAAAATTGTTTAACCTGAGATTAATCAATCTACTTTTATGGTGCTGACACATAAAAACAAACTGTGAGTTTAAGAAACCCCTGAAAACAAAAAGGATACATTGTAGTCTGTACCACAGATTGCTCAGAATATCAATTTAAATAATGCAACCTTGTGGCTTTTCCCAAATCTCCTGTTATCTTTGGTATAACATGGTCATGCTCTTGCTTACGATCAGTAGGCATCTGAGTAAAGCAAAGCTCATCTTCACAAATGTATGTACTCAGAACATTATGAATTCTAGTTTAGAAGTATATGAAATAATATTACAATTGCTATGCCATAAACTCCTCCTCTGCCTCAGAATGCAGGAAGCTCTTGTTATTTACATTGCACACATAAGAGGACCATACTTATAAAACAACACAGCAACTGCAAACATTGGCTTTCTAAACCCTTTGATTAGACCATCCCTCCTTTTCTCTTTGACGGGAAAGAGGCTCAATAGTATCTGAAGTCACCTCTTTTCTCCAACCCCAATACCCAAGGACAAAAAACAGAGGTGTCCCTTGGAGTAAGGTTTAATTTCTGCTTCTACTTTATCTGTAGCTCCTAACTTCTGCATAAAACAGCTTCTCTAAGCCCATATTCTACTTCATCATACAGAAGTGCTAAGTTTCACATCAGTGGGTCTGCCCGACCTGGTTACTGTGATGAAATGCCCAATATAATTCCTCCATTCAAAACTAAATATGTTGTTAGTTACACTGGATATGAATTCTTTATAAACTACAAGTGAAGGTTCTTTTATGTCTCTAAATACCTATTCTATTTTGCGGTCTTAAGAAAAAATAAAGAGGGAGTCGAGAATAATTGTCTTAAAATTTGAAGGGAGTCATAAATATACCAGTTTTAAATAACTTTGAAAAGTTAGAGAATATGTGATCTGGGTCACAAATTAGAAATAAAGGTAGAGAGAATTAGAAAATCTAAAACATTTCTGGAATTAGATTAAGGGTAACTAGGAATTGGCCCCGGTTAAAATCTAAGAAATCCTGAAAATCTGTAATATCATTCTGTTACTATTTTTTCATGTTTGTTTCTACCACTATTGTTAACATCTAAAAACAAATTAAAGCAAAATTAAATTCAGCCTCAAAAGACTGGTTAAATACCTTTGTGTCAGGGACTAAGGGAGAGAGCTACTTCTCAGAATTGATTCAATTCCACAGCAGCTCAGGAAAATGAGATTATCTTTAAGATTTTTTTTTTTAATTTCTAAACTTTTTTGTTTTCAGATAGGGACTTCCTGTAGCCCCAGGTGGCCTGAAACTTGACCAGGCTGCCCTTGATCTCATAGAGATACATTTGTCTCTGCCTCCAGAGTCCTGGGGATTAAATGCATGTGTCACCATGTCTGGCTAAAATTTATTTATTTTTATTTTATGAGTGCTGACTGCATATATGTAAGTGCATCCATGTGGGCAGTGCCCGTTAAGGTCAGAAGAAGGCATTGGATCCCTTGGAACTGGAGTTACGGGTGGTTGTTAGCCTCCATGTAGGTCCTGGGAACTGAACCTGGGTCCTCTGCAAGAGTATCAGTGATCTTAACTGATGAGTCATTTCTCTAGCCCAAAATGAGAAATCTTAATTTACAAGACCAAATGATGGTAGTGGGATGGAAAACAGGATTTGGGGACTTTAAAAAGAGGACAGAAAAGAGAACTAATCTAAAACCAGGGGGAAATGTTATAGGTTATCATCATCAAGAAATCTAATGTCCTCAGCTTGTTCTTCTTCCCCAAAGGCACCATGCTACACGAGGATGAAAGTACAACCTCCAAAGGTATCTGGGACTCTAGGGTTCTTATTTCTTATGTAGGACAAGGTGGGAAGTATGTATGACACTGTTATATTAAGTTCTACATAGCTTCTGCCACAAAAGGCTTGTTACCCACAGTGATAAGAGTCTGCCCCATGCTTTAAGCATGGTTCAGAACTGATATTCCATAGTAAAACTTGGAACTCAACATCTAACTTGTAACTGAATCTTTAAACCATAACTCACTCAGAACTAGGGAAATTTGGCTGTTAGTACTTCCAACTTAGCAACAACAAAAAACCCCCACCTTTGAAAAGAAATGCATGACTGGAGTATATATAATCTGTGTTCAACAGTGAGAGCCTCTGAATACTTAAAGATAACCTGCTACAGTTTGCTATTCTAGGTTGGGCAGCTTGAGTGCTGACCAAGTATTGAAACGCCAGACTGAGGAACAAGAAAGGACAAAAAGCGGACCCAGACCAAGCTCCACTTAGCATGCTCTACTAAGGCTTTCTGGAAGAAGCCTTTTTCTTCATTAAAAGGCACTTTAAAAATATCCCCTTAAGGGCTGGGTAGGCAGAGCCTGGGAGGCAGAGGCAGGTAGATTCTCTGAGAGTTCAAGGCCAGCCTGGTTTACATAATGACATAGTGAGCTCCAGGCCAGCTGGAGCTACAGAGACTCTGTCTCAAAACAAGGCCACCCCCGCCCCCAAATTTCTTGTGCTAGTGGGGTAGCATGTACTTAGAACGGGTGTTCTTTTCTACCACATAAGGGTGCTCTATAATTGTACCAATCCAGAACACAGTAACTAGAAATTAAAATCTATTTAATGAGAATCAAGAAGAAGACCTATAATTTTTCACCTTTTAAAAATAAGGTAGTGGGGTGGAAAGATGGCTCAGTCAGTGAGGATGCCTTATACCAAGACTGATGACTTGCGTTCTATTCCTGGGACCCACATAATAGAAGGAGAAAACAGACTTCCACAAGTTGTTCTCTG